TTATATAATTATAATATTAAAAAAGAGTTAATACTCGATCAAATCTTCGAATAACGTGTCGAAGACATTATTCATACGTGTACAGTTAAAAAATTATTCATGATACTAACATTTTTTTTTTCTGTCCACAGGTCCAAGATGAGAAGTCGCGAGTCCCTCTAACATCGATGATAAATGGTCTTGCCCGAAGGATAACCGAGCTCCAACCCGAGTCTATCGATCAGAAATTTCGATTTCCTTTAGACAAGTACGATGATCTCACAGGAAGCGGAAGAATCATGGTCCATGGCGAAGATTCGAAGAACTAACGATTTATCGATTGGTCCGTGTGTCAGCAGGCTGGTGGAACGTCGAATCGTTTGATAATTTGATTATTCTGCCGCGAAACGACGTTAACCATGGCAAGAGACAGGCGTGTAATCGCCGACACGGCACTCACTCATCTAACGAGCGCGAAGAAATCGCGTTGGGGGAAAAAGGAGATCGTCTAGGGATCCCTAGCAATTGGATATCTATATTAAGGGCAAGAGAGAAAGAGAGAGAGAGGGAGAAAGGAAAAAGTGACATTGCGGAGAAATAATAGTTCGTATTCCCATCTAGCAAGACTCGATTGAAGACAAGTCGGCTGGAACAGCGTGGATCCATTCGGAACAGTGAGCATCGAAATGAAGCTAGGGGATAACATGACTATGGATGGTGAGTGGTGATTCTTGTTTTATTCTTTTTGATCGATTTGTTGTAGGAATATTTGTAGAGAGGGAAGAAGTGTATTTCAATTGTAGAAATTGGGATGTTATAATTAGAATTATATAATTAAATTTTTGTTTTATTTTTTGATCAAGTGTTGTTGTTAATATAAAACTTTTTAGGAAAGTTTCAGTTGAATGACATTGAGATATTATAATTAGAATGTTTTATTTTTTGAAGAAGTGTAGGAATATTTGCAGAAAGAAAAGTACAGTTGAATGATATTGGAATATTATAATTCGTTGCAATATGTAAGTACTTATTGATCGTAATCTATTTCTAATATTAGCATTTTCTAATATTAAAAAGAAATTTCAAATAATTTAAACAAAAAATCAAACTAATTAAAATAGAAGATTTGAGATTTTTCTGAAATCCTCTACGAATAAAATTATCCTAAAACGTGCCGCTATTTTCTTATCTTTGTCTCGACCTCGATTATTTATTTAACAATGTTATCTGCATTTTGAATCAAAGAAATTAATTCTGGGAATTATTCGAGATTATTTATTATTATTAAAACGTGCAATATAACGTGTAACATAACATAGAAATGCAGTTGTGATTCATCTTTCTTTATACCAATTCAAAACTAGAAAGATTTGATTATGCGTTTACTTCTGTTCAAGTTATTCTTAAGCTTATTCTTCGGCTTATTGATTTCCGAAATGTGGTCACGTTCAGTCTGGGAATGTCGCAGTTTATCTCATCAAACTTATTGACATGCTCTCGTTCGTTATTCAAATATTCAGTCAAACTACGAGGTGAATTTCATTGTTTATGAAACGTTGGCAGGACGTAGTACGAAACGTGACTATTATACGAAGATTGGATGGTGCAATTTTGACTTGGACGTTCCGCTATTTCCTTATCTTTGTCTCGACTTTGGTTCTTTATTATAACAATGCTACCTGCATTTTGAACCAAAGAAATTAATCCTAGGAATTATTCGAGATTATTTATTATTATTTATTATTATTAATTAATCGAAGACAATTAATTTCAGATTTTTAAGTTTTTTCTATTAGATAAAATAAATTTCATTAATTAAGTTTAGTATTTATATATATATATTTTAAAATAATCATATCATGATTTTTTTTCAATTTTTTTTTCATTTTGTTTTATTATTTCATCAATATAATTATTCCAAACAAGGATCGTAATTTATTATTTTAATTGTTTCAGAAGAGATTATATTATACTAGTTTATTTAGTTTGTTATTATAAAATTGTTTAATAACAGATATTCTAAACTAATCAAATTTTCAAACTTTTCGAATTTTTTATTTAATTAACAATTCTATTATCACATTAATAAAGTGTTTATTTAGTTATAGAAATATTCGAAAAGAATCTAATTGTCTCTTTTTCTCGTTACGAAAGTTTCTTATTTCATTTTCTCATCATTAGAAAAATTATATTTCATCGCCTTAATTCGAGTGGGAAAAGCTGTTTAAGAAATAAACCTCAGACTTTTTCTGACCTTTTTCTTGTTAAGAAACTTCTTTATTTTATCATTATAGTTCGAGAAGAGACATTGTTTTTTGATATTTTTGAAGAAATATATTAGTTAAAACAAAATTTCTCTGATATTCATATTACATCAAAATTGTATTTAAAATATCGAAATGATATTATAGTTCGTTAAGAACATCTAAGAGATAAGTTTCTTTTGAACTTTAGATTAATTAATATCGTCTAATCAACGTAGGGAAGTAATACTCTCTGCAAATTGAATTATATCTCATTACGTTGGAGTGTGTGCAAACTCATCAATGCAGATCTAACTAGTCATTCATTAACAATATTTTCTCATAATTTCATAAACAGGATATGATTTCATTTTTTTTTTTTTAATTATACTTACCAATGAATAATTCAAATCGAAATCAATTTGATACAAGGCCAAACATTAACGTAATTACCTTTTTTCTAAATATTTTTTTTTTTTAAATACTATCAATCTATTTCGTTTAATTTTTCATATTAATATCTATGTATTTAAGTATTCTTTAAAAAGTATCTTCAAAAACTTTATCCTCGATTTACATTTCGAATATAGAATTTTATTATCGAGAAATTATTGAAATCAAAAAATTAAATAATATTAAAAAGTATAGGTCATTTAATTCTATGCAACTTTAAAGCAAATATATAAAAATCGATAAATTAATTCAGAATTTCTTTTATAGTATCTTTTACATCGTGTATTTATAAAATACAACTTAAATATTTAAATAAAATATTTAATTCCTTCGTTTAATTTAATTAATCGAAGTTTCAACAGCTTTATAAATATTTACGCAGCCTGGTGAACATTCCCGCTAGACTGAAATTAATCCCTTAATTAATTTCCATCGATAAATTCGAATCAGCCCGAAATACGACCTCGACAAATTTCGTAGATTTCAATTACACTGCGCCATGATCGTTCGTTTTCATCCTTACGTGTCGTACCCTTGGGCTTCGATTGTGCAAGAGGATCGCAGAGGGTTGAAAGAGAACCGTTTCGTGACTCTTAATCGAGTTTGCGTTGATTAATGGACTTGGCTGTCGATCACAGCCAGGCCTCGATATAAACGGCGCGATAAACCCCACCGTAGACACGTAAACACCCCTATCGATGATGATTCCAACCCCTCCATTTATCCTTGTATTGTGTTTATATCGAATTTCCTCGTAAAATCGATCGTCGACGATATTATCATTTATATTATATTCATCTTGATACCATCGAATCAATTCTCGATAATAATCAAAAACATTAAGGAAAATAGGGAAAAGTTTTTGAAAATAGAATAGATAGAAATACGTACTTTTTATTCCTTTGAGTGATATAAGGTTTTTCTTCTTCTTCTGGAAAAGTTAGTTATATAAAGAAATAACATCTCAAAGATATATTTCAATTAAATATAAGGAAATTTTAAGCAATGGTATTTCAAGTAAATAAGTTTTCAATTTATAGAATTGTAATTTCGAAAGTGTTACAGTTGTAAAATATATATATGCGAAAGAATATAAGAAAGAAAAGGGTATATAAGAAAGATATATAGATATGAGGGTATAAGAAAGAATTTGTAAGAAAGAGGATCGTTAAGTAGAAGTCTGGCAATGGATATTGGAAACATTACTATAATTTGCTGTAGAAATAGGACATGGTCAATATATAATATATAAATGTCAACTTAAATTTAATTGAAAAAATTCAGAATTTTTATTTTTAATTCATAATGTCCTTTATAGTGATTTATTTTGTTTTTATTATCATCACATTCAATTCTTTTCAATGTTTTAAACTTTCAAAAATTATAAAGATATTCTTAATTTTGTTTACTATTTCTTTATTCAAATGATAATTAAAATAATAATTAATTAATTTATTATATATCTGAAAGTATATTTGAATTATAAATTTAATTTTTATCCAAATAAATTCAATATTACATAGGATTAATATAAAGAATTGCGAATATCTATGTATATTACACATCAAAGTATAATTGAATGTAGTTTATATAAAAAATCCTTCTACAAAACATTTTCAATCAAAAGAATTTCCATGGAAATTCTATTAACTTTTTATAAACATTAAGCATTGTTATCATTGATAATATATGCGATGTCACTTAAGTCAAAATTTTTCTACTTTTCTTAATTTCTCTGTGTAAAAACATCAAAGAATAATAATAAAATTTCACATGGAATGTTATTTTTTCTACTGATTATTATAAGATATATACATCACTTATTCATATCTCTAAAAACATTATCATTAACGACATTGTCCACTGTGTTCATTTATTAATAAAACTCATTCCTCTTTGAATTCCATAAATCAACGCTGAATGTTTTTGACATTTAAATTCTCTGTTTTAAATGTTGAATTTATATTTTCAACAATTTTTTTGATATTTATCGTTCCATTTAAATTTGTGTAATAAAAATTTAAAAATTGATATAAAAAATTATTTTTAATAATTGTAATTTTAAATTATCTTAAAATTCATTTTCTTTTCAAATTTTTTCAATAATTTTTAAATTATTTTCATCTTTTTTTTAAAAATGGTAAAATATTACGTATTATTAATATTTTCTATATTATTCGCGATAATTGTCATTTGAAACATCATGATATTCATATTACCTTTCATCACTAATATTTCCAACGATTTTTACGATACTTTTTCTCATATTAAATACTTTTTTCATATTTCATTCGTATGATTTTTTAATTCATAATAAATTAAAAAATCATTTAAACGAATACGTTTTTTGAAATATTGTAATATTCATAATACATGTAACTTGATTGCAGGATAGATAGCAATTAATTCAGCAATTATCACGATATTTTTTAACGTAATATTTAATAATTAAATTTAATATTCTAGGAAAAAGGAGGAGATTTCATTACATTTATTGATCTAATAACTATGAGCAATGAAATCTTGGATTCAAATCGTCTCTTGTCTTTGTATAATTACAAAAATATTCTGTATCGTAGATAATAAAGGAGTCCAAGTATTTGTTATCCGTACATGCATCCCTTTAATTTCAGAAGTGTGTCAAGGTAATATACGTTATATGCATATATACTCGCGCAAATGCTCGCTTTTGATTCATAAAAATCCTTGTGTAGAGTGATAATAGAGTTTAGTTTAAAAAAAAAAACATGATTTACACATGTTCCAAAGTATTGTCATAAAATTGTTATTTATTATCATTTCTTAGGCATTGTTAGTGATAATAATTATAAAAATTTTCTCTATTTGAATTGCTATATTGTTGTATAATAAATTACATGTATATAACTTATTTGAAAGTATAATAATTGTTGAATTTGTCGTAAAAGAATTTTATGATAATTCTTTTTTAGGATTTATGATATTTTTTATAATATTTAAAAAGAGGACAATTACTTTGTTGAAAAAAGAATTTTTAAATTT